ATGAAAGGGGAAGGGAATTACTTCCTTGAAAAGTCCTCACTGAAGGTATTTATTAGTCCGTGGTTGTAGATTATAATTGTGCGGCCTAGGCATTATGTCTATAAAAGACGAATAAACGCCTCTGAGCACTTTTTTGCACTCGGTGCAATAATTAAGCTGTATTTTTAAAAACAATTACTGTTTCTTATTTAACAGGTAGGACTTTTCCGTACGAAACTCTTCTTCTCCACACACTCCAAGAAAGCAGCCCCATTTTAAGCAAAACATTATATTCCGTCGAGCGTGGATTTACATATGTATGAATTGGAATATGGGCATCCGGAGATATATAATCGGGAGTTTACTATGTTCTTGGTAAAAAGTAAGAATGGCTAATTGATAACCATTTAGACCCCGTTCCTCTGGATGTCGTCTCTGGATGAGCACATGCGCAAAACGCATTGAAATAACCAGTAGGTGTTAAGCTCCGCGTCATTATGCGGCCGACATGTGCCATCATTTTGTTTTGATTAATTGTGGTTTCTTCCATTTCTACATATTGCCAATACTATCCGAAAAGTTTGACCACCTTTGAAGATCGACTTTAGGCTTTTCTGACCATGCATGTTCCCCGCGACTGTCTCTTAAGCAGTATTAATTAATGCGACTCCTGGTTTCTTCCTCGCTTGTTCTCACATCTCGAACTCCTCCCGCATTAACCATCTAGGGGATGTTATTCATGCATACAAATTTGCATATGCTATCAATAACTTAAGACCGATGTTAACAGGACTGGGGATCAAATCACCCGTTCGGGATAAAAAGCCGCTGGTCATAGACTGCCTAAACACGAATCTGGCGTGGCATCGGCTTCATGGAATTCGACTGCAGCTCTCATATTTGCGATGGTACAGAATTGGTTTTCTTCGATAAGGGGTAGACTTAGTATCTGCACACGCACTCTCGAGATTCATTCGGGGATGCCTTTATCTGGAACTTGAAAAAAAGGATTGCGTGCCAGTCATTTTAATAGCATATGCGATCATCTCCAATGCCACGTAGGCTTTCAGTGGACGCAATCCGTGTTGAGGCAGGTAGATAAATAGATTTAGAGTTTCGAAAAGGTCCATTGAACAATTCAAAAGGACATTTTCGAGAGTATACGTAAACTTTCGATAAATTCTCATCAGGCCTATACATTTATATTACTATTGAAATGATGAAAAGGAAAATGCGGGCAGGCAGAAGTTATTCTGTAGCCGGGGTTTGGGCAGAAAGGGTCTGGGTGGGTGAGCTGAAAAAAAACGATTACCGTCAGTGTCGAGGTAGGGGGGGGGGAGAAGGGAACGGCGGGCGGCTGGCTGGCATGGTAGCTTTGGCCCATGGTAACTGTGGGGCCTTTGCAAAGTTCTTTTGTGCACATAGAACTAGTTAGTATAGCCTGATTGCAGCCGCCTGTGCTGTTGCCAACAGATGCTGTCCACGTAATTTTGGGTAGACTGACGGGACCTTGCAAATCACTCGGAATGCCTGGCCGGCATCTACACAGTGATCCGTGTCTAGCATGTTGGCGAGGATAGAGCTGTTGACGTTCTTTATTTGGCCCTTTCCTGATCCTCCCGGAAGGTGTTCTTTTATTAGTGTGGACAAACGCCGGTTCGCGCGACAAATATATTCTGCCCCACAGGAGCAGGTGAAGGTGTTAATACCCATAGAAGTGGTTTGGGCTGGCAGTTTGACCTTGCCCATTCCGCGTAGGATGAGACTTGTGGATTAGACTTACACAGATGCAAATTTGCCCTAAACAGTAAACTCTAGTTCCGGAAGTGCGTTAGGCTAAGTAGAGACGGATCTGCTTTCAAAATGGAGCCAAATCGCGCTGCTGAATATTTTGAGAGCATTTGGAGGTTGTCTCGTCAAAGTCCACGGAGGGTCGCTTGTACAGTAGGTGTGTTATCTCATAAAATGTTAACCGAAGCCCCAAACTGAGCCTTCAGTTCAAAAGGATTACGTAAGTTGAGTTGTCGTGTTTATTGACATACTCCAGTCACTTAAGGATGATGGCCTTAGAACTAGCTTGACATCGGCTGCCTGAGTAAACTACACTACACTATTTGTGTGACTTACCATGGTTATGTTTGGAGAAAACATGCACAAAACATTCGTTCTTATATTCACTTGGCAGAAAATTACGTGCTACATAAATTTCGTACTTTAAGAAAGAGCATCATTCGATTTCGAAAAAAAATTTCTAATTTTCAGCCTTTCAAAACCGTTAAATGTCCAATAATATAGCTTACATCAGTACGTTTATCAAAGCATGGATCACACTCATTCCAAAATTAAGCGAGCCCTACATAACTTATTTATAATGGTTTACAGACGTGTATGAATTTTCGGCTAGATCGCGGTTGGTAGCCAGGACCCCTTATTACAGGTGGCTGGGGGATTTGTTTACTGGGGCTATTTTGTGGGGCTTCATAATTGCATCTGACCCATTTGGCTTCCGTTTTACGTTTGAGGTTAGTATAAGGGTACCAGTTAATGGTTTCCGATTTTCGGATTAAGGTTATGCCTTTAAGCTTAGGTTTTCGGGTTACGGTTAGGGCTTGAGCGTACGATTGGGTTTCAGTATTATTTTTAGGTTTTTTCAGTTACGGCTATGCCTAAGGGCTACGGTTACATTTACGACTTCAGTTAGAGTCAGGGTTAGGGTTGTCGTTAGGGTTAACGGTTAACGTCTAAGTTTGAGGTTAGGGACATGGTTAGAGTTAAGGTCGTCGTCCGCTTCCCCATTCCTGGCTATCAAATGCGATCTAGCCGACTTTTCTTACGTCAGAATTATACAGCTCGCTGGCTGGAAACCATGAATGCAGGGGTCATTGCAGGTCGTGTTCAAATTTATACGGAAATGGAAAACGTTTTTTATGGTAGAATGATACTCTTTTTTCAAGAATAACATTTACACAGAACGCCATATGATGAAAAAATGAGTATAACATGAATACTGTGATTTTTTAAAAATGTATTTGAATTTGTGAGAATACGAAAGGTATTGAGAATAATTGGTGCTATATAAGAAGCCATTTTTACAGAGTATACTTTGCATAAGTAACCGATAAAAGACTCATTCGAAAGTCAGCATCATGGCTTAACGGGAATATCTGGATTAAATGCCACAATTTAGTTAATATTACAGTTTTGCGAAAATTATATTTTTACTTTGAAAAAAGCATTTCATAATTACAATTTATAATTTATGATATGGCATATTTTTATAGGAATAAAGCTCACGCGAGGGTTTTAAGAGGAGTCATATGACAAATTTTGAGATTCCGGTTTCACTACTGTTGACAAGACGTCTTGCATAATCATCGCAAGAGAGCAGTGCAGGTTAGCTCTTTCTGAGACCATCACGAAGGTTGCTTTCTGGGTTTCTGCGTCTCACCTAATCCCGGGTGTAATATACAGCTATGAGGAGTATTTTGAAGGATGACGGATAGCTTAGAGACTTAAGCAAAAGTAAGTTCTAATCTTTCGAGTGGATTGGAAGTTTAAAAATTCGTCTTCTTAGGGACTTACAAAGTCTGAAGCACTCTTCTGGATTGCAATTTGCCGAGGCTGCCTTTACTGTGTGGTAGAAGAGAGTCAAAAGTAGGAATTTGTTATTTCCATCTCTCTTCAGCCATTCGCCGTTAGAAGTGGGATGAAACCCACTGGGAACTGTGAGAATTAAAAGCTCCAAAGAATTTTATTCACCCAACTTCCTGAATTCTCATTCGAAATCATTATCAGGGAAAGCAAAAGATAAGTGACGCAGCGTTTACGAAGTGTAGTTGTCATGTGAGTAGGTACCTATCACAACTGAAGGCAATCACATTTATTGCCGATTTTCTCACCTGACGCAGCGATTGCACGAACGTGAGCGTCCGAGTCGTTAATTACTCGGTTTTATTGTCAAGGCTGATTATTGGCTCACCGATGCCGCTGATGGAAATTTCGTTGAACAACGCTCTCTCACGAAATAATTACTCCCTCTGACAAAGTCTAGTGATTGAATATAGATGGATTTGGGCCGCATAACTAAGAATTAAGCAGTTCGGTGCTCATGCGATTTTCTTGCTCTCGCCAAAATTCTGACCCCACTGAGCTTGAACGTGTGGCCGGCTTCTGTCAGATGAGCCATGGCGTAAGATCTGGCTGTCTCCACGCCCACGGCCGCTGCGTGTTTGAACATCCACATCCGCAGTAATCTCCCAGTTCCTCCAACACAGTTGCTTTGTCCGCAAGTCTGCCAGATGGACTCCAAACGCCCTCTGCTGTGGCAGTGAGACGGTTAGCCCAAATACCGAACGCAAGGTGGTTAACTCAAGTCAAGGTACAGCACAAAATTTGGTCTAGGAGAGCCACGCGATGTTAAGATTCATGGATGTGGGAGGCGGTCTCTGCATGCACAACGACGGTCCTATCGTCGTGACAAAGTTTCACATAATATGCATCGTTAAGGTCTTCTTGGCCGGGTGCTTTAACACATGGCACCTGGGTAACCGTCATTTTGTGGACGACAGTTAGGTGCAAACGTCTGAAAGTTTATGTCCTTACCATTTACATGGTGGAGATAAATACTCCCACTAGGACTTTACAGGAAACGGATTCCCCTATCCTATCACCAGCCAATTACGTAGTTTATAAAATCATAAGGTGTAGATATTCTGCCAATTTAGATAATTAATATTGAGCCAAAACTGAAAAAAACTCGGCAAATCAGTGGGATGCGAAATCGCATGCACCTTTCAGTTCAGAAGCGTTTATTCGTCTTTTATAGACATAATGCCTAGGCCGCACAATTATAATCTACAACCACGGGCTGATAAATACTTTCAGTAAGGGGTTTTAAGGAAAGTAATTCCCCTCTTCTATCATCCATTATTTTTTGGAGTCTATAGAATCGTATAGTATAGATGTTTTCAGCAGACTTGTATAATTTATACTGATCACACTCCGGAAATCTTGGCGCATCGATGGGATGCGAACCCACGATATCAAGGGGAAATCTTCAACACAGCCAACGCACTAACCATCTGCGCTACGAGTCACCATCAGAAGACGTGAGTCTAATCATACTTGGGCATACTGGCGACATTTCTGAGCACCCTTCACTCATTTAACACTACGTCAATCGTTGGCCTCTTCGTCATGGAGACACTCCTGGCCTCATGCACGAAGTGCCAGTCAACATATCCGACGGTGGACACGTGCGGCATCAGCCAGCTGCCCTTGAGAACCCTCGACCAACAAGGAATTCCCTTTCGGTTCCAATTATATCTACGGTGTCTTTAAAAACATAGTGTTAATGCGAAGGAAAAGAATCGTAGGACGTTCGATAGACCTGATTTTATAGACTGTCCGCAGTCTCGAAGTGTGCAGTGGGTTAATGTAATTTTGAGTTCCAATGAGAATGTGACAGATTGATGACTTTTCACGGAGCACAGGAAATGTCTGGCGTGTGTGTGAGTATTCTCTGGAAAAAAACAATATTCGGCCAAAATTCATTTCCCAATGTACTAGCATAGGTTTTCATTCGACGCAACTAACAGAAGCCATCAAAGCCAATTTATCAACCAGATGACTACCAGGCTTAGGTAAAGCGTAGCCTGTGCCATTATAACCTCCCATTACGGCAGCTTTATACTCTGAATGATGACTTTACAGGGAAGCGATTCTCCTCCCCTATTATCGATTCATTTTGGAGCTAATAAAACCGTTTGGTCGCGTCTCTTTTGTCCTCGCCGAAATAACTTCCGGCAGGCAAACAGGAGTAAGCTGTCGAAGAATCGACAGATTCTGTGGCGCTCACAGTCTTCTCTTCCATGCGAAGGAGCTGTCCTTTCCGAATGAACTCCAGTAGATGACACATCTGATTTAAAACGAACGGGCCGAGGTCGCAAAACCTAAAAAAATTACCTTTTCGTAAGTGTTGTCCATTTAACAGCTAAAAGATATAAATATGATTTAAAAACGCAAAATTACGGAGAGCAATTATGTGAAAGTTAGAGTATTAATGTCACTATCATTGATGTATATTTGAAAGAAGTGCACTTAGAGGCGACATTAGTAAAAACAATGGCAAATATAAACTCTGGCAATATCTTGAGAGATTATTTTGTTCCCATACATTGGCAGGTTTGTCAAAAATGGAAATAAACTAAACATTTGGGTGTGTTCGCTTAAATATGAGGGCGAGTTTTACATTAAATGCTACGTTTTGACCTTTTTTCGTTGTACTTAAGAAAACCGCAATAATTATTTCATTAGACCTGGGATGCTGTAAATATCACAGACAGAGAGACTGGCGGCTCTCCGAATAATTACGCTTCTTCGTCAATCACCAGTAAAACCAGGGACATTATCCAACAAAACTATGGCGTGCATTCTGCGCTGGGAATATCGTTGTGCCTGTTTATCGAAATGACAGACATCTACATAATTAGGTGTCAACAACACTTATAGCCTGTGATTGACACCGTCCGTTTTGGAGGTTATTCTGCCCCTCCAGCGACTCCTGCACCGTCTTTGCAGTACTGTTTAAAAATAAGATCTTATCCCAGAAGACGGTGCCCTTTTTAAATCAAGGTCAGCGAAAAAATACGTCTAGGCAAATTAAGGACTTTCCCCGATAAATTTTCCACTTAAATTTGGCGTTGTTAAGGTCTTTCGTGAGTGGAACGAAAACGTCAACGTTCTCTTCATATTTTAACTTAAAAAGCTCAAAGACAAATACTCTTTATGAGTAATTGTACCAGCTGTGCCACAGAATCGTTGGTCTTTTGCAATTTAAGTGATCGCATTGCTTCCAGAAGTGGTTTTTTTCAATTCTAGGGTGGTTTCGGTGGATTGGAAATTATACCCCGACACTTTTTGTGGCAGTGTCTTTGCTGTTCGTTAATTTATTAACTTAAAAACTCAAAGTGGTCAAAGAATGCCTGAAGGATTGAATTGAACAGCCTCATTGAAGAAAAATGGTTGTTTTTTGTGGGCGTGAATCATAAATTTATTTGCGCTTTCCAGCTCTCAGTGCAATGCTGCACAATGCTTTTTAGCAATTTTTCTACTACAAAAGATGCGCTATCTCACGAAACGTTAACTAAAATTTAAAAATGTGCTGTCGATTCGAAATGAGTACATAAGTAGGGTTGGAGCAGGGTGTCGAGATATTTTACTCATGTTAGAATGTTGATCTTCGAACGGCTTCTTTTCGACCAACCGCGGAGAGCAAAAGTGATAAAAGAATGATTACTTATGTGGCAGGCATTCATCCCCACTGATCTCCAATGTCTTCATTAGCGTAAACAACTCGCACTAAAGCATGTTTACAAATAAATGTCTTATGCATATTTGGTATCACTGACGTCTTCCATTAATTTTAGATTTCTGGGAATTATGATACGATTTGGTTCAAAGTTCAACCCTATTTAAATAATCTTTTCGAACCGAAGGCGCCGTTCAAAGTTTCGGCTAACGTTCCCTAAAATAACATGTCTACTGTAGTAATACTTTTTCGGAAAAATACCGTGTTTCATGGCACTGAGAGATCAAAAGCGATAAAAAAATATGATGCATACTCTAGTCATAATGCCATTTTGTTCGGCGACTTTTTTCAATTAAGTCTTACAGACAGTCCTCGTCTGCCGTTAGATTTGATCGGATTCATATCTTAGCATAACATACACGGACTGATATTCAGCGACAGAAGCTTTAGCAAGTTAGAGATAAAATTGCTCGAACGCAGGTCTCCCTCCAGGGACCGCCTTAGTTTCTGTGGGCGGCGCAGAAAGCCTCAGGTGTGATCTTTAATCACTAAGATAAGGATCCGGCCAAGACCACTGTTGGACCGTTACGGCCGGGATAATCATGAAGATGGCCTTCGCGGAATATGCCTACAGTGACGCAGACATTCTACGCTTACTTCATCCTTTTCTCCTGACGTTAGCCTGTTCCGATGACAAGACTAAGAAAAGACAATCGGCGATGAGCATAGGCGTAGTCAGCAACAAAGATAAAAATTCCGTCTACACACGGTCCGGCCCAGACCGCGCGTGTTTTGGTCTGTTTTAAAGAAGGCGTCCCAAGTCGTGCATCAAGTAGTGTACTCTGAGGGTTGCATTGGTCCCCTACTGGCATAATGCCTGCAAGCCCGTGACTCTGATCTGTCTCTACGTGGCTTAGAAAATTAATATCAAAATCTACTCCTCTTTATTAACAACAATCAGCATGTCACATGCACCTGATGATTGGGTATTCCAACGTCTATTCACCTCCCGCTAGTCATCATGATCTTGATCAATACATTTAACGTGCACATATGCTCGCAAGGCTGTACTCAAAGGAGTTATACCGACCTTTGATCGAGTCTATCTGTGTCTAGTCCGAATCTGTAGACTGCCGCTTTTATCTTTTTTGGGTTTATCTTCAGAAGACACTAGACAGAGCAGTACAGGAAATCCAAAGAATATGATACATGGCTTTCAGGAGCTGGTTGCCGAATTTTGATGATAAGGACATTGATTTTACTTAGATATTTTTACTAAGTCTTTCGAAAGTTATCGCTTCCTAAAAAAGTGCTTGAAGCAATTTCAGTTACGTATAGCTCGTAAAGTATTCGTTTATGAATAAATAGCGATATTACAAGTGATATCATAACATACACGATATATTTGATTTGATGAAGCCGATAGGTCATTCGCCTAAATAGTTATAAATATATCTGGGCTGAAACCTAAAAGGCATGTTCCGGGAATGTTTACGTTGATGCATTAATGCCTGATAGAATAAAGCAGTTAGAACCGAAAAAAAATTAGAATACTTATAAGTAGGAAGGAACAGAAGACACGTTCAGAGACTCGCAAATTAATCCAATTACTCGCAGCCATATGAGGTGAAGGAAAGTATCAGGAAAACGCGTGTCTGGGTTTCTAAATAAAAGTGCTGTGAGTCAGGCTTAGTTGATTTCTAATCGCTCACGGTTTGCCCACATTGATACCTTCGGCATTGGGATTTATCCTTGTGAGCAGGAACAGTGGGCGCGCAGGTCTAAAAACCAGTGGACAATCCAAGTGCTGATGCGCTTTCTAAATTCCTGAAAACTTCTAAAATAAATAATTTTCTGGGTCAGACATGTCAAATTAGGGTAATTAGTACCTCTTGAAATGAAGCATTCTAACAGTTATATAATATGTTTAGTATTTTTCGTTCCTACCAGGTATCAGTGAAAGTCCTGAAAACCGCTAAATTACAAAAAAATAACCAAAATTCACTTTTAGCAAGGCTAACTCGATATCCAGCTAAAAGTTGCCAGACTTATCTGTGAAAATATGACTCTGTTAACATTTCCCACAACATTAAATGCATTCTCTCTACTTACCCACAGCATTTAAAAGCAAAAAGGAGTTTTGTGGGTATCTGTGCGTATTATTTAGTCGATTATTGCTGTAAGATCTTACTGTTGCTACATTTCAGTAGCGAAAACGATAAGACAGGGGAATAAGAACCCCGGAAAAATTACCTATTTGCGGGCCTCAAATTTAACCTGATAAAAACCCTAATGTAATATATAACCACTGTCCTAATTTCCCTGTAGATTAAAACAATGAGAGGATGTTTGTTCCATCTCTTGAGCATAATGGCGTGCTAGACTTTCGTCGTTAACACATCCATCAACCTGTCTAATCTCTACACGTAAACAAATATCAAAGAGTTCCATATCGGTAATCTGACGTTGCGCTAACTCATTATCCGACCGGTGCATTAATTGAAGTAACGAAGCCAAACAGAAATTCTCTCTTATCTAGTCCAGACCAATATCCAGCTGAAATTTACCAGGATAATCTGTGAAAATTAACGTATGTGGATATACCCTCCTGAATTCAATGCATCCTCCCAATATAATCCCCTGCATTTGAAAACGAAAATTAGCAATTTATGGGCGATCGCGCCTGCTATTTAGTTGATTTTAACTGACGGCTTAAAAAGAGAATTCCCTGAAAGTTTGTACTAATATTGTTTGTTACTAACAAACACAGTGCGACAGGGAAATATGAACCCGTCACTCCCCAGAGCTAAACTTCTCAGGACTTAATAAAAGGCTATTTGAAGAAAAAGAGTCGAGCACCGGAACAGTGTGTTTATTGTCCGGAGCTTTCAGACTCGTACAGGAGTCCATCGTCAGAGGTAGCGGCAGCAGCAGAACAAGCGACAATTATAAGGCATCAGACCAATCAACGCAGTCTTCCTTGATATAAAATGCACAAGAGAAGAAAAACAGGACCAGCAGTTGCCCTTCCTGGATGTGCTTGTCAGACGAAACCTTAAAGGTGAACTTGAAACGACGATTTATAGGAAGGCAACAAACACCACACAGATTGTCAATTTTCACAGCAACCATACGGTGGCTCACAAACGAAGCTGTGTGAAGACGCTCTTCAAAAGGATCCAAACTCATTGCAGCAAACCGGAGGCCCGCTATCTCCGCGACCAGTTTGTGCACATTGGCTGTCGGAGGGCATTCATAATTCGCTGCCTACGCGGTCGCCACCAGGGAAATCGAACATCACCGCCATTGACGATATGACATTCTCTGCCATATATCAAGCACGTTTCAGAAGCGAATGAACGCATTGCTGCGGAGTTAGATGTTGGAATTCAACACCGCCCCAAAGCCACCATGCGGAATATGGTAATGAAAATCAAAGACAGGTTGAAACCCGATGAACAATCTGGAGTAGTGTATCGCATTCCGTGTCAAAATTGTCCTTGTATTTACACAGGACAGACTGGGCGAATGCTCGGATCGCGCATACACGAACATAAGCTGACTGTGCGGCGAGGCGACGCATTATCACAAGTGGCCGCCCACATCTACGAAATGGGTAACGAGTTTAACTTCGCAGTCACCAAAATAGTCGCCCACGCCGGAAAAAAAAACAGGCCAAGAATTAATTGAGGACAGAGCCTCGGTTGAGAACTCGGTCAATCGATTTATCCATCTGGCGCCGGCGTACAAAGCCCTGCGTAGTCAACTCCAGTCCCTCGCCGTCGGTCGATGATTGGGCCTACATGCCTTATAACTGTCGCTTGTTCTGCTGCTGCTGCTGCTGCTACCTTTGACGATGGACTCCTGTACGAGTCTGAAAGTTCAGGACAATAAACACAGTGTTACGGTGCTCGACTCTTCTTCTTCACCTATGCATACACCTGGAACTCGAAATTTCGCCTTCATTCGTTAAAAGACTATTTGTTTTACTGGGGGGATGCTTTTTCATCTCGTGCCGGATACATCATAAAAAAATAAGTCATCAGCTGAAGAACTCACAATAAATAAAAACTCTTCACTGTTAAACTAAAGCAAAGGAAAATTATGATGAAGGAACGGAGTATGAGCAAATTGTGAAAGAAAATTAAGAAGATCATTTGTATTGTGTGAGACCTGGTCCAAATGCTTTTAGGAAGTTAGAAAGCTGTTAACTAGCTAAGTTTCGAATGTCAATCCTACGAAGGCTGCCCATGCAGTGATCCGGAGTGCATGATGACTGTCAAACTACAATAACTGCAACGGGTATTCAAAGTCAACAGCATCCCGCGCAACTTCGTCTCTCCAAATGGCCCACAGGCCGCGAGAAGAGCTTTCTAAGGTCGAAAGTAATGCGTGTATAGAAATCAAGGCCGACAAAGACCTAGTCATCGTGCCAGCGGAAAAACGGCGCTCTTCGGTTGTACTGGACAGGACAGACGACTTTCAAAAAGCCAAAGGCTTACTGGAGGATCGACGGTTCTATATCCCATGTGCAATGAATTCTTTAGAAGCGCTGACACGCGAAATTGATGCCACGTTGTTGGCCTTGGAGAACTCAGGTGCAATAACACCGACCGACAGACGCATGACGAGACCCCAATATACGTCTTTGGCCCGATTCTATGGCCGGCCTAAGGTGCACAAAGACGGCGCTCTTCTCCTACCCATCGTGTCGATCAAAGGGACTCCAACATACGAACTGGCTAATTGACTGTTCCGGCGTCTCAAGTTCCTGACCGCTGAGTCAGACACCACTGTCTTTTCGTCAGCACAATTTCTGGAGAAACTGAAAGGGATAAGCATCCATCCAAATGAGGTCATGGTATCTTTTGATGTTACATCCCTTTTTACTTCTATTCCCCAGGACCTGGCTATCGAGACAATCGAGTTGCTTCTACAAAGTAAATATGATGAGATGGAGAACCGTCCTGGACACGCCCAAGTATTTCAGCTCCTGAAGGTCTGTCTCAGAACGTACTTTATTTTCGACAGGACAATCTACGAACAGGAGAAGGGCACACCAATGGGTTCGCCGATTTCGGGATTCATCGCCGAGGCGGTCTTGCAACGGTTAGAGTCGCTGGTCTTCCAACACCACAGACCGAAGTTCTGGGCTCGGTATGTGGATGATGCCTTCGTCGTTATCGAGCGGGATCAACTGCTGACATTCAAGGAACATCTGAATGCGGTCTTCCCGGACATACAATTTACGATGGAGGAGGAAGAGAACAACCAGCTGGCCTTCCTAGATGTCCTCGTATGCCACAAAGATTGTGGTGACCTTAAAACCAAAGTGTTCAGGAAAGCGACAAATGCGATGCAAGTACTGAACTTCAACAGCAACCACCCAATCAGCCACCAAAGCATTTGCGCAAGGACGCTTTATCGGCATGTCGAAACCTACTGCAGCTGGCCGGAAAACAAGATTGCCTAACTACAACACCCCCGACGGGTCTTCAAAGCCAATATCTACCCGTGCAACTTCGTCAACCGGTGCATACCCAAAAAGAACGAAAGGCCTAACATCACGGACGCCACATTTTTGTGATCGCTTACTCATATCAAGAAAGTTTCGAAGTAATCTGTCGCCTTCATGCATCACTTGGAGTTAGAGTTGCACAGAGACCGGCGGCAGCCATTAGGCGTCAGTTAATGAGACCGAAAAACCCACTGCCACCACAAGAAATGTGTGGAGTCGTTTATCGGATGTGCTGCAGTTGAGGACAAAACAACTACGTCGGAAAATAGGAAGACTGCCCCGAATGCTAGTGGCCGAGCACGCGGCATCAAAGCGGCGAAGTGACGCGAGCTCTCAAGTAGCCGCTCATTCGACGAGATCCAGCCACTTATTTAAGTTCAAGGAGACCGAAATTCTCGCTAGTGGTGACAAGCCCGTGAGCCGTGAGCTGCTTAAATCATGGTTCACTGTCCTCCAGTCAAGTAACAAGTGCAACGGCCTTCCCCTTCCATACTCGGTGCAGAGACTTCGCCTTGGCGGAGTGATTAGCCACTCGGGGAGCGCACAGGTGAACGCTTTTCCCAACACCAGGATCAGAGCGTCAGATGGTTGAGCAATCATCACACCAGCATCTAACACCCGTGATGAAATTGCAGGGATTATCGACGCGAATGTCGGTCATCGAACAGTCATCACACCAAGTGCAACAATTCCTGAAGACAGAGGGAGGGCCGTGTATTTTCATAGATATGTGGTAGCTATGCGTCGGCATTCTATAAATACCGCAGCCCCTTTTGCATGAACCACTCGTATCTGCTGTTGTCTCTGATGATAGTTTCGAGCAGGGATCCAAAACATCGGGAAAGGGCGATTTCCCTGCGTTTAGCCCGAAGTTTCTGAGACTATTTCTTTCGTCTTTATGAAAGAATTTCCAAAAGTCGAGGACAGAGCATCTAAATATCTAGGCAAATAGTGTTCTTTAGATTATCACGCTTATTACTGCATGAATACATATCCATATCCTCCGCAGGTGGAAGATTCCAGACCCCTCAAATTTCCTCCAATCTGAAATCACCATCAACGACGTCATCCCTCATCACTGAGGCGTGGAAGTCCCATAGGATCGTGGCGTGGTCACCGACTGTTACAAGCGCCGTTAGTAAATTAGTTTGGGTGGTACGCCCCGAAATCCCGCGACACCCCCAGAAGGATAGTATCTTGACATCGAAATTGGCTTCTAATTAAGTCGCGTTGGTTCGCGTGTGGGAGTTGGGCTGTTCGCGACATGAAAGTAGCCAAAGTCGGCAAACGCATTTTTCCAATCATTTATTGGATCCATAAAATAATATGAGTCACGGGAGTGTGGTAGTGAGAGTTGGTAATGCAACCGACGACAACAGGAGTGGGGATGATGGTGATAGAGGGGGGACAGGTCGGTGAGAGGCGGAGACTCTGGTCTCACCGGGCTGCAGTCAGGTGTCCGTGGGGGGTATGCTTGTGCTTCCTCCAAGTTACACGAAGGGGGCAGCAATTTTTGGACCGGAACGAACAACACCTGCGAGTTTAGGACTAGACCGGCTACAGTAGATGTGCTAACTCATGAAATGTCAACCAAAATTTCGAAATGCGTTCTCGTTTCGAAAAGATAGCTTAAGTTGTGTTGTTAAGCTGATCTTGATGCAGCATAAATCTATCCTGATCCAGTTACCTCAGGGTGTCGGCTTTCGAAAGAACCTATTTTCGGCTGCATGCAAGATCTATACTCTGCAAAAAATGACTACTTAAGTAGCATACAATTTTCTCATTGATTTTCGATGCCCTTGAAAAATCAATTATATTTCATGGATAACATGCATAAAAATATTAAGTCTTTTACCTATTCGGTAGAAACTCACATCTTCTTCATATTCAAAAGAAGAGTATAATTCGGTTTTCAAAAAGTTTCAAATTATGAGATTTTTTAAAACCGTTAAATGGATGTTCATGAAACGTCATGTATCTGCATTAACGAATGTGGCTTGTAAAGTTAACCATATTGCTCAAATGCACTGCTTAATTTTATGAACCTCATATGGTCTCCTCTTAACACCGTAGAGAAATGCATGGTTTGCCGTACAAGGAAAATATACAGTTTGTAGTTTTGAAACCCTGAATGCAAGTGTAACAGCAGATCGGGTTCAAAATTAGGAATTAGAAAAGTGTTTTAAAACCGAATAATACTCTTCTTTTGAATATGAAATTGGAAGAAGACGTGAGTTTCTACCGAATAGGTAAAAGAATGAATATTTTTCTGCATGTTTTCCGTGAACTATAATTGAATTTTCAAGGGCATCGAAAATCAATGAGAAAATTGCATTCTTTATAAGTAGTCATTTTTTGCAGAGTATAGATCTTGCATGCAGCCGAAAATAAGTTCTTTCGAAAACCGACATCCTGGGGTAACTGGATCATGATAGACTTATGCTGCACCGTGATTAGTTTTACAACACTACTTAATTTATCTTTTCGAAACGAGAACGCATTTCGAAATTTTGGTTGACATTTCATGAGTTAGCACATCTACTGTAATTGCATAATTGCCACATTTGCAGTGAGTAAACATTCGCTGGCGTGAAACGTTAAAGCGTCTCACCGGAACCGTATAGATGACTCGAAAATTTAGTTTTGATCCAGTCAGTGGCGACTGTCAAGCAAATGAGCCACGCACGCTAATATGCTCGGTTCGATCCAAGCAGAAAAGGCTTTCTTGCACCCGTCTTCACATCCAATCTTAAGCGAACAAGAAGAGGCACATTGGTGAGGTCAGAAAAGGCGGTCTATCTTTCCCTTAGCAAGAATGAAGACAGTTCCCGAGAAGAACGATCCTGTCTTAGTCGTTCTAGACGACGTTTTGGGTACCCACCGCCCGCTGAAACTCGAGACAGTAAACAAAGGAATAGTTCCTACCTTTAAGTTGACGAAGTATTCATTTTAGAAGCCTTGTGAGGCGAGTTGTGATGAAGGTGCTCTCGCGCAGAACGTTCTTTATGAAGGCAAGTTCATCCGCCAAGCGCCTTTCCACCGCTTCCGCTTCACCTGCATGTACTTACCTTACGACATCCAAATGTTACTTATTTGGAAAATTTTGAAGCCCTACCTACGCTGTCTGACGTCGTGAGAAAGTGGATCAAAGTTAGAGATAACTACGTTAATTCTTTTGTGTGTATGTGGGCATGATAAGTCGACATGGCTCTTTAATTAATGCTTCTAAGAGTCCGGGGTTTCGATAATCTTACGACCTATTTCGGTCCAAAAGCGAGCACATCTACACGAATGTAGGATTAAGGTTCTGCAGGCAGCAAATTACTGCAATGGAACTTACGCTCAAACAGTTAAATCGTTTATGCATCTTCAAGCACTGATTTTTTTACTTTGATCTGCTTAACACCAATGCGCGTTACGGTTTGGCATGCGACATACATTAGATGGGCTAACTCATGAAATGTCAACCGAAATTCCGTGATGAGTTTTTGTTTCGGAAAGATTTATTTAGTAGGTTTGCCAAATTAATTATCATGCGGCATATTTCAATAGCCACCACAGGGTGCAGATTTCGAAAGTACTTCTTCCTGTCTGCATACAAAAAGGATAAAAGATGACTAGTTAGGTAGTATGAGTTTTTCCATTGATTTTAGATGCCCAAAAAGGCCAATTATATTTAGTTAAAAACATGCATAAAAATAGTCATTACTCTACTCATGCGGTAGGAAATTAGGTATTCTTTCAGTATTACTTTCGCAAGAAGTGTATAATTGCGTTTCATAAAGTTCTTAATTATGAGATTTTTGATACCCTGAAATGGCCGTTCACAAAACATCAAGTATCTGCATTTATCAATGGGGATTGTAAAGTTAAAGATATGGCTCAAATCCACTGTTAAATTCTATGAACCCTATATGTTCTCCTCTGAATACCGTAGATGCATTTTTTCATAGTTTTTCGACGCCCTTGAAGATTCAATTATATTTCTTGAAAATAAATGAATAAAATATTCATTATTTTGCTCATTCAGTAGAAACTTACATCTTCTTTAACTTTACACTCGGAGAAAGGGTATTATTCGGTTTTAAAAAAGTTCCTAATTGTGAGATTTTTTTAAACCATGAAATGCTCCTTCACAAAACGTCATGTCTCTGCAATTACAAATGTGGTTTGTAAAAATAACAATGTGGTTCAAATCCACTGCTTAATTGTATGAATTTCATATGTTTTCCTCTTAATACCGTAGAGAAATGCATGGGTTTCCGTTCACTGAAAATATACGTCTTGTAGTTTGGAAACACTGAATGCAAGTGTGATGGCAAGTCGAGTTCAAAATTATCGGGGAATTGAAAAGTTTTGAAACCAAATGAAGCCATTTTTTGAGCATTCCGTTAGAAGGAAACGTCATTTTTTATCAAATAAGTAAAAGAGTTAACATTTTATGCACGTTTTTCATAAAATGCATTTGAAATTTTAAGGGCATCGAAAGTCAATGAGAAGAAAATCATGCTTATTAAGTAGTCATTTTTACAGAGTATATTTCGTACACGAAGTCGGAAATAATGTCTTTCGAAAGCCGACACCCTGCGGTAACTGGATCAGCATAGAAGTATCCAGCAAAATGATTAGTTTTACAATTCTACTAAATTACTCTTTTCGAAACGAAAACGCATTTCGGAATTTCGGTCGACATTTTATGAGTTAGCCCAACTACTGTACAAGGAGTCTATCCACCTATCCATCCTGCTCAAGCCAGACATGCCGACAAGTCTGACAACCATTCCCTGTTATTTTCGAAGTTGTCCCCCTTGACTGCAGTTGAATAGTGTTATCTTCATGTCTACGAGGGACTATAAGCTACTCGAGAGCAAAAGGGGTTTTGCAAATTAGGAACCAAGTAAACACCTATACATGATTCCTTGAAACAAATTAAAGAAAAACAGGTTACCTATATC